GTTGCACTTCTTTCGTGTTTGTGGGGACACCCGATCCATGGCAATCAGCGTAGCCAACTGGATCTACGGGGTATTTCCGGTTGGCCGTAGTCATGCTTATGGCTTAGGTTGTCGGGGTCGTGCGCGACGGTTTCGTACACAAGCAGAGGGGCCGCTTTTCACGGAGTGGAGCTGAAGATTTGCTTCGCTGCTTGTCCCCGCACATTTTTCTCACTCCAGTTCAGAGACTGTGGCTTTGTTGAGGAGTGCACGGCTGCAGCTGTGTCGTCTGCTACGGAGATAAGCGTTGATGGCTCCACGTACTTTGGGCGATGTCTCCATATGGGGTTTGCCTCCTCCAGGTCATCACTTCCTTTGGTGGGCGAGAGGCCTGTGGTGTTCGAATGAAAACTGCTCTCCGGAGACGCAGCTGGTTTCGCCGGCCTGGATTCGGGATCACAAAATGATATGACTACAATCGGCTTGGTCATGACTTTGGGGTCGGCTGAATTGGTGCTCAGCAGAGGCCCGTTTCGTGCCTCCACCCCTGACCTGCAGTGAACATTTATCTGGGCCCAAAATGTATTTGTATTATATGTATGTACGTATTGTGTGCATTTTATTTGTACTTGCGTTTCGAAGCAACGGTTATGTGAGAATATAAACGGAGGTTTTCCAATTCTGGTCGAATGTTATTCTATAGGACGCATCACCAAGCGGACCTATCTGATAAACATAGGACGACGAAAACTTTCGCTGCGATTCAGGGACTCATAACTAGGCAAAGAAGCGATTTAAAACTTATCCTTCTAGCAATGTACGCTCTCACTGGAAAAAACGGGGTTAGGAAGCAATCACGATAGGGAGGATATGCGTCATAGGGATGTCTACATGTAATCCAGGATACAAGGCATCTTAAAAGGCCTGAGGCAATTTAGGCAACCGGTTTCATGCTTTCCTTTGAACAACAAATCGTTTCAGTCACTTACATTCTGAAGTTCATTGTATTACCCTTTGTTTTAGCTGAAACGTGAATGCTACAATTTTCGCTTCCAAAGAATACATTTGGCTCCTCAAATTTTGAAACCACTGTTCTAGTCCGGGAAATTGAACGGGACACTGCTCAAGTATTCATTGAATTACGGATGAAAACTCAGGACCTGGGCTTCCGCACCCATTTCTCTGGTCAGTTTCCTTCATATTGTTCACTGCAAGGCACAAGTGGAAAAGATGTTTGTGTTCTTTCAGTTATCAGTGCGAGGCAGAATGTTTACACGCTGGAGCACGACGGCTCTCAAACGGGGGTTATTCCATACAGGTGTTAACGGAAAAGAGAAAAGACTTGCATAATAAGAGAATGCGCTCCAAATTCAAAAATTTTTTGCAATGTCCCTGCCGCGTGATTGGGTCCGCTGTGAGGAACCAGTCTTCGAAATCTGTTCAAACCGGGTGAAATTAAAAAGAAGGATCGACGAAAATGAGGTTGTCCCTGAGTCAGCCCAATTCCTGCAGCGATAGTTGGCAACCCCAGCATTTAGGCCACATGACAGCATCCAGGATAGTTTCCATCAATTGACGCTTGATGATTTTGATGTCAAAAGTAACTCACGCCACTAGACTACCAAGGAGACTCGGTTTTCTGCTGCCACAGCAAATAAATAAATGTATCTTTTATCGGAAGTGATTTTGCAGCCTTTATGGAAGGCTCTTAAGAGCAACAACGCCGTGGGTCTTTGGATTCAGTCATCACGCATGTTTAGATCCTAGTAATCATTTTCAGCATTTCCGGGGGTACTGGAGTTAACAACACGCATTCAAAAAACCGAAAAATCTCTGAGCGGGGGAATTGCAATTATGTGAAGTTTGTAGGCTCCTGTCAGAAGGTGCTCGTTACCTAACAGGAGGTAAGAAGACTCAAGAGATTTCCTTCGTAGACGTCGGGTTGCAGCTTCTGTATAATCTACCACCAATTCTGAAAATTATGTAAACGGTTGAATTATGCAACGATTGATATTTTTTGGTTATCCGATGAATGTCTACGGTTTTGCATTGCTCAATGACCTTAAAGATTCCTTCAGTTGACAAATATATATTGGTTGCATTTTGGTAAGGCACACGGTCCAAATGAATAACTGCATGTTAATTGATGAAATCGAAAACCATGAGAATATCTCTGAAAGTATTTCTGTAGCAATTCTACTAATATGCGTAAACCCAAATATGAACGGATCCAACAACCCTGTTCTTTTTCTCTCAACATCATTTTAGCGAAACGATCACGGCGCGGTTTACGTCTACTTTGTTTGCCAGGTTGGGAAATGGTGAGCTTGTATACAACGTTCATATCCAGGTCGAATACCCTCCCAGTGGAATCTAAGTTGGAGCAACCAAGCTGACTGTCGCGGATCACGTATGTTTATGCCATATTTCTGTTTCGGAACATAACTGAGGTTAAAACAATTCGTGACAGTGCTCGTTGTACGAGTACCCACAAGAGTAGCTTTCGTCAAATGTGGACGAGTTAACGAGGAAAACGGAACTTTGAAAAATTTTCTCAAAGCAGACTAATCGGCTAAATATAGGGTCAGGTCTGCAAGGCTCTAACGAGTTTTGCTTTGAATTGTTGTGCTCTAACAAATATGTTCGGGTATTTTTGTTAGCGAATTGGTACAAAACGCCAGTTTTCCAAAAACCAAAGCGCACCGTGCAAGACGCATCAGATGTATGCTGCTAAGCCATGTTTTATTTACAAAGATTGATTGTGATTCAAAAAGTGACCTACTTTTATTCGACTGAACGTGTGCAGTTTATGCGATCTGACTGAGCAGAAATAACTGTAATGAAAATATGGTATGGTTCAGTGAACACAAACGTTTTGTACGGCGTCGGCACAAGTGACATTTTCGTTTAAAAACCCTGCATACGCAAACGTCCGGGTGCATCCGCTGTAGACGATCCGTTCACTACGCATTCCACCGTGTGCCGTTTACTGAGTTCCGAGAGTTTTGCAATGAGATGGGCAAAAATCACATTTGTATGTCCTCCAAGCTGGCGACTAAACTTGCCAAAAAAAGTGACACCAATATTTCAACAAATTACCAACTACTTCGAGCGTTCCACGCTCGAAAAAGCACGTCGATGGGAGACTTACACCTGCCGAAAAGCCTCCACACCACAACAACTCTACTTCTTCCATGAATACCTGCTCAAACACATCCTTCCACGTAGCGTAACCTACCGACCGCCACTAAACCATCCGCAAGCCTGGATAATAGCTTGAGAGAACGGTAGACGAATGGTCGGACCTATGAATACAAGCGCTCTTAACCGCATCAGAAAACACGAGATAATAGCCAAGAACATAGGGAAGCCCGCTTGAGGACGATAGGACCAGATCTCATGGAGCAACTTAGCATGGCGGTGGAACGAAGAGTTTCATCCACTGCTGAAAACAAGAAGGCTCATCTACATAGCAAATCCTCAAGGCTGACTAGGAACCAGGAGTGCGAAAGTAATCGCAATCTAGCCTGGATAAGGAATCTGTCCAAAAGGCAACTGCAGGAAGCTGGAGAAAATGTTCTCGTCAAAGGACTTAATTTCAACTTCAAAGACGCGACAAACCTGGAGTATTTAGCCAGCCTGGGAGCAGCGATGAAATCTCTTGGACTCGACGAAAACGCTCAGCAGCAGCTTCGTCAAACTGTCGTCCTAGCGATCACACGCAACAAACCAGACAACGTGCTTTCCGGCGAAGAAAAAGAAACAATGACCTAGTTGAAGAAGGATGAAAACATCGCGGTTCTACCGGCAGACAAGGGACGTCTAACGGTGATTATGGACAAACCGGACGATATCAGTAAAGCAAAGACACTACTTAACAACACAACTACGTACCGCCACTTAGAACGCTACCAAAGCAAGCAGCTTGCAAGAAAATTCAGTAAGAACTTGAAGCAACTCCATGATCTCCAAAAAAATACGAAGGAAGAATATTGGAGAATGAGACCTCGTGATTCGGCCACTCCCCGTTTTTACGGCTTCCCAAAGGAACACAAGGAATCAATGCCTCTCCGACCAATTGTACCACTTCCGGGAACAGAGGCCTACAATCTTCCGGAAGAATTATGGATAACTACAACTTTAGCATGCAGATGAAGCTGACCTGTATGATAGCAGTTATCCTGTGTACTGAGAATGATGTGTCAGATTTTCTGTCTTAGTGATCGAAAGCTGTGTGCTCAGGTATTAGAGTCCACGATATATTATCTAGAAAATAGGTGATTACTTGTTCGTTGTGACGCACCCAATGATGTCTTGACTATACAGGATAATGCCATCAATAATGCAAGATATGAAACTCCTAAACACCATCTGTGTTACCGCAGAGATCAAGTATTTCGCTAAAAATGAACTTCTCATTAAAGGGGACTAACTGATTTGATTACTATATTTTTAGTGCGCAATATCTTGCTACAGAACATGTGGGTTACTTGCAGAATTCACGCAGCGTCAGTGACGAATTAGCAAAATTTATTCACATGTCGTGTCAATGAAAAATGATTTGGAAGTATGTACTTGCACACTTGAAATGAACATATTTCGAAGTTGTGCGATACTTCAAGCACCATTTTGATATCGCATGTGTAAACTTCACAACGAAAGGGTAGTTGACCGGTACTCGATTCCGTCACAATACTAAACCACTGACAGTCTCAGAAGTAGCGGTTAATACCAAAAGCGGTATTTTCAAAAACTTCAGTTTGCATTCGCCATAACGAGTTCATCCAATATCTTTTCGTGCACATGAGATGCTGGAGTCCGGTATTTCATTGGGTCGCTGCGTTTTTTGTATCGTGTGGCCATTCAGAAGTCCTTGGACAAGTTGGCTGCCAGACAGATTACTGCATATGGGGTGGATGGCCCAAGATGCTAGAATGTCCTATCAGTGAGATATTTGGAATAAGATTGGCAAAAATCACCTTTGTATGAGCTCTAAGTTGGTGACTGAGCTCTCTGAAGAAATGAAACACCCTTGGTCAATGCAGACTTTGATTGGTGATTTCACGACATTTTTGCCCCGTTTTGATATGCCGTGTGCGAAATCCACAAAATATAACCGACGTCTCAATGTGGCAGGCGCAAAATCGATCCCTGTTCCTCCCAAGAGGTTATATTGTTTGGTGTCAGAGGGGGTAAGAAGTCGTTACCAAGCAAATCAATGCATCTTTATCGGTCGAATGTCATCTGTAAATCAGTCATTTCGGTTGCTCACCTCGGACATCTCTATGACAAACCCAAATTAGATTGTTGCTTGATAGGGTTTTGTGGGCTAGCGTATTTGTTCTGAGGAATTGCTCTGTGCATTTTACTGGAAAATTTAATCGTGTTGATGACGCCTGAAAACTCTAAAACAATTAACTGTAAGCATTTCGCTGATCACGATGTAAACAATCATAATTGAACGCCCAAATCACGATCAACGAATTATACATACTTCAGTATACCCAGTGGACAATGATAACACTGGTCGACCAGGAGATGCCACCCAACAAGCTGTTCAAACATAACCGTGTCTACGTCGGTTATGAGTTTTCGGTTTGTTACCGTACGTTTGGTATTACAATGCAGTTTTTTCATGTATTCAGGGTTCAAAACACCTGGACCTTATCGTTGTTCTATTGATCACACGAAAACAGGGACTTTTACACCAAATAAGCGCAATTCGTCTGTCAAATGAATTCGATGCCTAACTCCCATTGCAAAACGTAGAGTGAACATAACATCATTACGCAATACACCCGTGCACGAATCTCTGTAGAACAAGAATCTTCGTTAAACAATTTGAACGTTGTTCGACTGCTCAAATGTGGACAATTCTCTCTCGATTCGCACCTCATTTACCGCACCTTATGGGAAGATAAAGATCCACAGTTTCACGATTATTCATTGCTGTACGATCAATGCCTCACTATCCAATGTTGCACTCACATTCTTTCGGAGAAATTGTTTGCTTAATAATTATTCGCGTAGCTCTTGGGATAGAGAAATTAGGATCTCGAGACCTATAGATGGTTAAAGAGATTTTAACCCCGAGAGTTGCTGTGAAAACACACCGATATGTGGTTTACAGAGTCGCGAATTTTTAACCTATGTGAAAACAACAGAAGATTTTTGAATACTACCAGCAGGTTGCTGGATTTATAGGCTCCAGGTTTGTTTCAGGGAATTCCCCGTAATGTAATTATCAGCAGATCACTTGGATGTGCCAAAATCAGAACAGCGCCGTCCTGTGTATTTTATGACGTCGGTCTGATTATATCCCATCTTATTTTTCTTCGCCATTGCGGTATATCCATGGAGCAATTCTACAAGATCTTTCTTTGAATTGCACCCACATAACCGATTAAACCAAGAACCGAAAATTGTCCAAAACACCTGTTGTGTTGTCGAGAGTGTTGATGATCAGCCATTTTTCGCTAGCTTGCTTGCTTTTGCGCTATATTTCTTGTTATTCCTGACGCCACTTCCGGGAACAGAGGCCTACAATCTTCCGGAAGAATTATGGATAACTACAACTTTAGCATGCAGATGAAGCTGACCTGTATGATAGCAGTTATCCTGTGTACTGAGAATGATGTGTCAGATTTTCTGTCTTAGTGATCGAAAGCTGTGTGCTCAGGTATTAGAGTCCACGATATATTATCTAGAAAATAGGTGATTACTTGTTCGTTGTGACGCACCCAATGATGTCTTGACTATACAGGATAATGCCATCAATAATGCAAGATATGAAACTCCTAAACACCATCTGTGTTACCGCAGAGATCAAGTATTTCGCTAAAAATGAACTTCTCATTAAAGGGGACTAACTGATTTGATTACTATATTTTTAGTGCGCAATATCTTGCTACAGAACATGTGGGTTACTTGCAGAATTCACGCAGCGTCAGTGACGAATTAGCAAAATTTATTCACATGTCGTGTCAATGAAAAATGATTTGGAAGTATGTACTTGCACACTTGAAATGAACATATTTCGAAGTTGTGCGATACTTCAAGCACCATTTTGATATCGCATGTGTAAACTTCACAACGAAAGGGTAGTTGACCGGTACTCGATTCCGTCACAATACTAAACCACTGACAGTCTCAGAAGTAGCGGTTAATACCAAAAGCGGTATTTTCAAAAACTTCAGTTTGCATTCGCCATAACGAGTTCATCCAATATCTTTTCGTGCACATGAGATGCTGGAGTCCGGTATTTCATTGGGTCGCTGCGTTTTTTGTATCGTGTGGCCATTCAGAAGTCCTTGGACAAGTTGGCTGCCAGACAGATTACTGCATATGGGGTGGATGGCCCAAGATGCTAGAATGTCCTATCAGTGAGATATTTGGAATAAGATTGGCAAAAATCACCTTTGTATGAGCTCTAAGTTGGTGACTGAGCTCTCTGAAGAAATGAAACACCCTTGGTCAATGCAGACTTTGATTGGTGATTTCACGACATTTTTGCCCCGTTTTGATATGCCGTGTGCGAAATCCACAAAATATAATCGACGTCTCAATGTGGCAGGCGCAAAATCGATCCCTGTTCCTCCCAAGAGGTTATATTGTTTGGTGTCAGAGGGGGTAAGAAGTCGTTACCAAGCAAATCAATGCATCTTTATCGGTCGAATGTCATCTGTAAATCAGTCATTTCGGTTGCTCACCTCGGACATCTCTATGACAAACCCAAATTAGATTGTTGCTTGATAGGGTTTTGTGGGCTAGCGTATTTGTTCTGAGGAATTGCTCTGTGCATTTTACTGGAAAATTTAATCGTGTTGATGACGCCTGAAAACTCTAAAACAATTAACTGTAAGCATTTCGCTGATCACGATGTAAACAATCATAATTGAACGCCCAAATCACGATCAACGAATTATACATACTTCAGTATACCCAGTGGACAATGATAACACTGGTCGACCAGGAGATGCCACCCAACAAGCTGTTCAAACATAACCGTGTCTACGTCGGTTATGAGTTTTCGGTTTGTTACCGTACGTTTGGTATTACAATGCAGTTTTTTCATGTATTCAGGGTTCAAAACACCTGGACCTTATCGTTGTTCTATTGATCACACGAAAACAGGGACTTTTACACCAAATAAGCGCAATTCGTCTGTCAAATGAATTCGATGCCTAACTCCCATTGCAAAACGTAGAGTGAACATAACATCATTACGCAATACACCCGTGCACGAATCTCTGTAGAACAAGAATCTTCGTTAAACAATTTGAACGTTGTTCGACTGCTCAAATGTGGACAATTCTCTCTCGATTCGCACCTCATTTACCGCACCTTATGGGAAGATAAAGATCCACAGTTTCACGATTATTCATTGCTGTACGATCAATGCCTCACTATCCAATGTTGCACTCACATTCTTTCGGAGAAATTGTTTGCTTAATAATTATTCGCGTAGCTCTTGGGATAGAGAAATTAGGATCTCGAGACCTATAGATGGTTAAAGAGATTTTAACCCCGAGAGTTGCTGTGAAAACACACCGATATGTGGTTTACAGAGTCGCGAATTTTTAACCTATGTGAAAAGCCTAACTCCATTGCAAAACGTAGAGTGAACATAACATCATTACGCAATACACCCGTGCACGAATCTCTGTAGAACAAGAATCTTCGTTAAACAATTTGAACGTTGTTCGACTGCTCAAATGTGGACAATTCTCTCTCGATTCGCACCTCATTTACCGCACCTTATGGGAAGATAAAGATCCACAGTTTCACGATTATTCATTGCTGTACGATCAATGCCTCACTATCCAATGTTGCACTCACATTCTTTCGGAGAAATTGTTTGCTTAATAATTATTCGCGTAGCTCTTGGGATAGAGAAATTAGGATCTCGAGACCTATAGATGGTTAAAGAGATTTTAACCCCGAGAGTTGCTGTGAAAACACACCGATATGTGGTTTACAGAGTCGCGAATTTTTAACCTATGTGAAAACAACAGAAGATTTTTGAATACTACCAGCAGGTTGCTGGATTTATAGGCTCCAGGTTTGTTTCAGGGAATTCCCCGTAATGTAATTATCAGCAGATCACTTGGATGTGCCAAAATCAGAACAGCGCCGTCCTGTGTATTTTATGACGTCGGTCTGATTATATCCCATCTTATTTTTCTTCGCCATTGCGGTATATCCATGGAGCAATTCTACAAGATCTTTCTTTGAATTGCACCCACATAACCGATTAAACCAAGAACCGAAAATTGTCCAAAACACCTGTTGTGTTGTCGAGAGTGTTGATGATCAGCCATTTTTCGCTAGCTTGCTTGCTTTTGCGCTATATTTCTTGTTATTCCTGACGTTTTCATGATTTTAGTTCCGAAAATGCATTGTCTTTACCGTAGTTTGTCTTGGTATAAATCGACCGGGTATCTTAGGCTTGTTTTAAGGTAGTGTTAAATATTGCGAATACCAAATTGCATTCCTGTAGTGCAACTTAGCGCTCGAGCAAATGCTGGTATCTCTGTGCGGTATCTTTGTGGTATCTTTGTGCGCCATGAAGTCCGCTTCCGCGTAGCATAAATAAATAGAAGTAAGATCGATTTCAATGATTCCTGACGAACATACACATTGAAAAGTAACGCATAAATGACGGCGTAATAATATTTATTGATGTATTTTCAAAGTGTTTGAAGCAAAAGTGGAGAAGAAACATACCGGCTGGCAAGTCTCATGTATCTTTCGTGGATTCTCGTCGACACTGCTTTGTATGCCTCGTCAAAATGGATGGAGTCTTAAATTCACTTTTGCAAACTTCACAAGCATATGGTCTGTCTCCCGTGTGGACGCCAGCATGTGCCTTCAACGCAGCTTGCGTTCGCAATATTTTACCGCAATAATGACATAAATAGATTTGCCTTGAGTCTTTTGGGTTGCCCGGGCGTTCACTGCCTGCCAGTCTGTCGTAGTGTTTTTCTATCATGTGACTCTCTTGACTTCGGAGTGACTTGAAGTTTGATTCACAGAAATCACAATTGTATGGCTTCAATTCCGAATGAGTTTCCATGTGCCGACAAAGCCAGCTGAAGTATGGGAACACCTTTGGGCATGTTGGACACTGGTGTAGCATTTTATTTGGTTCACACTTCTGCGTTTGTCCAATGTGTTCATGCTTCCAAGTCTCCGAAGGATGTGTGGAGGCGCCGTAGGTGGGAGTCATGGCTGAGTGCCGCAGCGCTTCGTATTGGTCGGCATCTGAAATTAAAGGAAACCATCAATCCGTGTGGATATCGCGGAGAAACATTCGAGCCGGCGTGCTGCATATACGTGTGTGTTCGTCCGGGATTTGTTTCACTCGCAAAACCAGACCTAAAACGCAATGGAATAATCAAACAATCTGCCGCAAGAAGTATCTGTCTGTCTGTATCTGGTGAGTTGTTGTCTTCAAAAAATACCTACTTTCTTCATCTATGAACTCGTAACTGTGCGACAAATTTGTCATTTGTCACATTCAGTATTGGAATGAGTAAATGATTCATGTATGCTGCATCGTATTGGAAGCTTGTTACAGAGTCCAGACCAGTGTTCATCCCAGTGGTTCCAATTTTGACGAATTTATTCAGACATCTCGAAAGGTATCAGTCCGGTTCGTCTGTTCTTTCTCACATGCTCATCCGCACTGTTCCTGATTCAAGCTGCTGTTTAGTTGGCCCAATGGAAACCTTCTTTCATATGCCCACCAAAATAGCTCACTTAGATTATTTGTTGCCTTCTTTTCATGAAGTGCGGCCACATTTCCGAGCGCAATTTCGTAGTACAGTGAACGAACAAAACAATTTACATTTCAAAAGATCACTTGATATTTTGAATCCGATTGATATGTAATCCATGTGTTTTATAGTCTCAATAAACGCACCCTCATAGCATGGACGATATTCAGTCAGCTTTGCTGCAATGAGAGTGCATGAGTATATGTTGAGATCACATGGTTTTAGTAGTTTACAAACCAGTGAAATAACCCACAGCTGCACGTTCCTTTAGCAGGCGCTTTGAAGTATGTTCAACAGCCTTTAGTGGTGCATACAGCTGAGAGTTATCTGATGTGTTTTCAAAAAATACTGCGAGACATGCCCTGGAGGCACTGTTGATAGCTTCCAAATCAGAACGATCGGAACAGCGTGTCGACCAGCAACTTCGTCAACGCCAGTTGCACGCGACAATGCGTCCATCTATTTCGGGCGATGGGTAATCGCTAGCCGTCAGGCAACCATCTGGCTAAATGGTTAGTATTGGTTTTCAAAACTAGCATCGAAAATCTCGGTTGATATTTTCTGTGGATCGTACTAGACTTTCCAAGGTTTTATGAGCAGATAAAATAAAGCAGCACAAATGAACCTTGTCTAATGAGCACAGAAAATTCCGTCAAACGTGACAGACCTCGATATCGTATTTTCAAATCCATTGGTTTCTAACGCAATGGTATCTGGAAGACTTTATTTGTACTAAACGTCCAGAAACTCTGAAGAAACCTGAGAATGTTTGCGATCGCTTTTAAAGAGGAATAAGGTGTATCAGTCACTACATGATCGCCGGCAACCACGTCAGTAATTTAACAGTATAGACAACGTTGTCCGCGCTACTACTCTCTGGAAAATCACGATTATGCATTCCGGTACAAAACGCTGTTCCCTCAAGACGGTAAATCGCTACATGGATACGGTGGTAGGTAGGGCGATAATATATATTGCCAAGTCTCTCAGTGTATGTGATTTATGCAAGACACCATTCAAGACGTCTATCACAAATATGCAAAAATCCATGCTGCTCCAGTCTGCACTCTGGGCATTTGCAGCACAGCGCTATTCCTCAAAGACTCCTGAGTACCTGACAGTGATTTGAGTCCCCACATAGGCCTTCTAATATCTAGCTGCCTGCAAACTTATGAGGGTTGAGTTGACATGTTGGGGCTTTGGCAAGACGCCGTTTTTGATGGCGTTCCTCTAAAAATCGTGCGTTGGGGTTCAAGGAAGACTCCGCCATATGTGTGGAAGGATTTCCCTCCCAATATCATCCCAGTATGCGCCGTGCTGCAATGATACTGGCCTCCAAATCATCCGGGATTACCAGATCGTCGAATGAAAAGGTGAGCTCTGCAGTCACCAGTGAAAATATCTTCAAATTTAACCATCCGCTTGATTGATAGCTACAGATAATACGAGATGGACTACATATAGTGAAAACTACTTTGGCATTTGTTTGACCGGTTGGATAACCACTAACGAAATATACAAAATTGTGGACTTACCAATGGGTGCGTACAAATCGGCGAGATTGCTCAACGCTCTCACTGAAGAGAAAGTTGGGTATGAAACATATGTACATAATCACGAGAGCATGGGTACTTTGTTTGGTTTATTATCATCATGAATATTATCGTATGGTTTGTATTCTGAATGGCACAGTGGGGCAATAAAACGTGAACGAGTGGAATATGATCAATAACTCACACTTTTTTCCGATAACCATATGGCTAGTGATGACCTCCGTTAATAAGAAGATTATACACAGCATTCGCATCATATTCAAACGTTACAGCTTCAGTACGTGTTTGCCAGGTTTAAATATAGCCATCGCACACAACAGGACTACAATTCTGCCCAATCAGTTTAATTCAGGCCACCCTCCAATCATATATCGGAAGTTTTGAACGGGTGGTCAGTATTTCCGCGTTTATCTAGCATATTAAAAACGAATGCTTGTTCTCAGATGGTCGAGACTTTTTCCTGGTGTAAAAATTTGTTCTGGGTAGAATCAACCCTACAATGATTTATCTATTTACTATTTACAATCATCTTATCATTTACTTTTGAATAGCATGGTCACAAACATAAAAAAGTGAGTGCAAGCGACGAATGCGAAGGAGTAACAGGAGAATATGAGAGAAAAGAGAGAAACGTCTCATTCGAGATCATGCCAAGGGCAGTGTCAGTCTGATGAGGTGAATCCCAATGTAAAGATTTTGGTATGGGAACATGCGTCTAAAGACGAACAACCAAAGAGAGGACAAACAATGGTGAATTCCCTTCAAGGCACAGTGTGCGCTAGCACAGTCAAGACTGGCACATCAGGCACAAACTGACCGTCATACTGGGTCTGGGGTGAGAATAAATGGCAAAGATGTACCTTCAACGTCATGTGCCACGCATTCGTCCATTTCTTTTACCAAAAATTTTGGCATTCGTGCTACTATCAAGTCAGCGTTTGCCAGGGAATTGCTTCCTCAGAATTTTATTTTCTCAACGATCCCATGATGCCGGTAAGGATAAAAACAAGGACTTTCATTAATTCATGCCAGATCGGGGCTGAGGTGTTATTATGCCATATGGATTGACATTTGTAATGTGCATTTAAATGACTTGAATTCTGCAGCAGACTGACCAGAGACGAACATCGTCATCTTACACCTACCTCATTCAAAACGGTAGACACGGGTATTTCCGGTACCCAAGATGCCCTATACCTTTTGTCCTACCTTCGTAGACACTCTGGACTTAAACCCAGTGGCAAATGTAATGCCAGTTGATCCTTAGCTCAAAAAAATAACGTTGCACCCGTGGCTGCCTGGCAAAATGAACGGATTCATGTTGAAAAATGAGCCCACCCTCACGTTAATGGTGGGTTAAAGGGACCCCCCTGAGTGGAGTTTCCTTATCCCATGAAACTATTCTTACTCTCATATCGAAGCTTGTGAAATGTTCAAAGGGATTGTCTCAATCACTGTGATTCAATCTGGACCAAAAAATGTAAACTACAGCTAAAAGCCTTATATCCACTGGACTGTATCGATATTTGGCGTACCCTTATGAACAAGCAAGGTAGCATGGTCGGGGGCAACAGACAGCTCAGAAACACGTGGTTTGCTTCATCGAAACGTTATTCAACGTGGATCATTATTGCAGGAGTCCCGGACTCTTCGGTTTTGGGTATCCACGTGAGTCAATTTTGGATACCAACCGTAATAACGCTGACACCATGATGACACTATTTAACTCTACCTGCAATTTTAACGTTTCTGATTTTCTTTGAAAGCATGATGTGGGGAAGCGATTTATTTTACGATCATCTAGAATTATCACACGCCATGTCTTGTTATGGTTCGCATTTGTCCGTCTTTTCGGTTGAGGCTCACTTCTTGCAAGTAACTAAATTTTTTTCATGCAGCCAATGCTGACCTGTGAGATAGCACTCATCCTGTGTATCAAGAATGATGTGCTAAACTTTCTGTCTCCCTGATCGAAAGTTTCAGGTCCAAATATGAGGGCCCACTATCGATTATCCAGTAGAAGTGCGATTACTTAGTCGTGTTTACCCATCCATTGAGGCTTTGATTATGAAGTATAGTCCCATCCCATCAATGAGATATAAAACTCAAAACACCATCTGTGTTGCCGCAGACACCAAATCGTTCGCGAAGGTTAAGCGTATCATAAAATTAGGGTAATTGATTTCATTACTATGTTTTTACTGCGGATTATCTTACTGCAGAACATGACGGTTGGTAAGCGACACGTGCCGATTTCAAGCAGCGTCTTCGACGACACTGTGTCACATGCCATTTCAATGTGTAGGGATTCGTAAGTATGTACATGCACATTTGACAAAAACATAGTCTCTCCAACGTACGGATGAGGACGCAAACACAAACGTTTTCAACAGCGTTGGCACACATGATATTTTCGTTTAAAACCCTGCATGCACA